AGACACTGTGGGCAATTTACCATGGCCAATCCAACTAATCTTTGGACTTTGGGGGAAATCCCGTGCAGACATAGAGAGAACATGCAAACTCCACATAGACAGTCGCCTGAGGTTGGAATCGAACCCAGGTCCATGGCAATGTGAGGCTGCACTGCTAACCACTGAGCCACCGTGTGATCCTGAGGATGTGACAATGGGGCAAAATGAAAACGAGTCACTTTGTCATACTCTAGGGTTAAAATGAGAATCTAAGTTCAGGCAAACATGGTGTCTGCAGTCTTGTGCCTCCTCTTTTCAAGATGCCAGAGCACGCAAAGGGAGACACCAACACTGCCAGCTGAAATAGCAGCACTTGTGCCAAGAATCTTCAACCAAAATTAATTTCAGATTCAAAGGAACCACTGGCTTAAATGAACCGGAGACTATCTCCAAACAACAACCTGCATTTACAGATATTTTCTAATCAAATTGTTCAGGGATGGTATTACACACCTCTGGAGCAGGTGGGACTTGTAGCCAGACCTCCTTATACCAGATGAAGGAACACAACCACTGCACCACAACAGCACCTGACTTGCATTCATATACATCACAAAACATCTTGATGCTCTTCACGTGGGCATAATCAGACTAACATTGAGATTGAGCACAAGTTGGAGATGTTAGGGACAACTAAAAGCTTAGATAAAGAGATAGTTTTAAAGGAATATCTTATAAAGGAGTTGAGAGGGACAAGGGAAATCCCAGAACTCAAGACCTAGATGTTTGAAGGCCCAATTGCCAATGGTCCTGCAAGAATAGACATCAGTCAAGTTTATCAGGAGATCGAGAGCTTTTCAACTAGAAATTGAAACTCAAGTTTATCTAGACCACCGGGGAGGATTGGAGTTGGATTGTAGCCTGATTCCTTTGAATGGGAAATGGCTGAAATTTGTGGCACGGCAACTGCTGCCCAAACCTGGCAACAACTGGGGACGGCCACCAAATGGAGTGCACTTAAATATGTGATGCCCTGTGTCCTAAGCCTGTCAAACTAAGGCTGGTTCTCCCATGCTGGCACAATCTCACCTGTCTTTATTCTGCAACATTGCCAACAAGACCCATTCCTGCTCACCACAACGGGTTCTGCCTTCACCTCATGCTGGAAAAAATTGTAGCAGCGCCTCAAGCCTGTGGGATCATGTGATCTGACATTCCTCAAACTCCCCCTCAATACTTGGGATCAATGTTTTCACAAGTGTTTGCCTGTCCTGTAGGAAGGTGCCAGTTTAGTGATCTGCAAACCTGGACCTGTTCTCAGTTCTACTTGTCGGAAATGGTTAACTCTACTTTCGGATTTCTGGAAGTTTCCCCCACTAACTTGGAACCTCAAGGTGACGGCTTTGTTGTACTATCACTGGACTGTTAATCCAAAGACCCAGGTGATGATATGGAGACCTAGGTTCAAATCCCACCATGGCAGGTGGTGGAATTTGAATTCAATACTAATCTGGAATTAAGAGTCTAATGATGACCATGAATCCATTATTGATTGTTGGGGGGAAAAAACCCATCTGGCTCACTGATGTCCTCTAGGGAAGGAAAATATCATCCTTACCTGGTCTGGCCTACCTGTGACTCCAGACCCACAGCAATGTGGTTGACTCTTAAATGACCTCAGGGCAATTAGCGATGGACAATAAATGCTGGCCTAGCTAGTTGACACCCTTAGCCCTTGAGTGAATTAAAAAAAACTGAATGGAAAAATTGTTGCTGCATCTAGTCTCATGTAATAGTTAGTAATGAACAAGGAGAGACAGCACAGTAAATACTCAAAGCACCATGACCCACAAGCAATAAGACAGGTGTTTGTGGGGAGTGGGAAGGTGATTGGAAAAGTATTGTAACTGGCAACAAGTGACTCTGGAACTAGGTCAAACCTATTTTGTTGACTCACTGTCATCCGAAAAAAACTTCCATGGCACGTTTACAGACAATGTTTATAGTTCGTTTGCAAATATTTTCGGAGCCATGAAAACAGGGAAAATGAAAGCAGTTTAGTTTACCAGCAGGACTGGTCAGACTCAGTGCCAACCATTTCTTTGCACACACCTGCCTATCATAAAAGAAGTAAGCCATTCAGCCCATTGAGTCTCCTCTACCACTCAATGAGATCATGGCTAATCTGACAATCCTCAACTCCACTTTCCTTCCTTATTGATGGATCCATTGATTGGTTTTATTGTCACATGTACCAAAATACAGTGAAAAGCTTTGTTTACGAGCAGTACAGGCAGATTACGGCAAGCAAAGGATACACAGATTGAAAAGACATAGAGGCATACAGGTTACACTACATGTTACACTATTTGAGGCTAGAGTCCATTCAACAGTCTGATATCAGCTAGAAAGAAGATGTTCCTGAACCTGCTTGTGCATGTGTTCAGGCTTTTGTATCTTCTGCCTGACGGAAGAGGTTGTAGGAGATCACTACCAGGGTGTGATGGGTCTTTGATGATGTTGGCTGCCTTTCAACAGCAGTGAACCGTGTAAATAGAGTCCATGGATGGAAGGTTGGCTTCTGTGATGGTCCGGGCTGTGCTCACCACCTTCTGTAGTTTCTTACGGTCCTGGGCAGAGCAGTTGCCGTACCAGGCTGTTATGCACCCGGACAGTTTGCTTTCAATAGTGCATCTGTAGAAGTTGGTGAGGGACCTTATGGACACGCCAAATTTCCTGAGCCGCCCTGAGGAAGAAGAGGCGTTGTTGTGCCTTCTTGACTGTCACATTTATGTGGGGACTCCAGGACAGGTTATCCCCACAACCTTATCCCCATTCCCTTACTGATGAACAAATCCTTCTATCTCAGCCATGAAAATACTTAATGACCCAGCCTCAATAGCCTTCTGTGGTAAAGGATTTCACAAATTTACTGCCCTCAGAGAGAAGAAATTCCTCCCCAACTCTGTTATAAATGATGGACTCCTTGCTATGCCCTCTGGTCCTAGACTCTCCCAGTAGACAAAGCAACCTTCCTGCACTGATTCTGTCAAGACCTTGAAGAATTGTATCCGTTTTGATATGGTCTCCTCCCATTCTTCAAAACTCCAATTCAAAGCACTGATGCCTTCCAGTTCCAAACTATCACAACATGGTGGAAATTCAGGGATAATGGAATGGTGGTGATGTACTCATAATGTTCCTGGGTTAGTAATCCACAACTTTCAGGCAAATGAGCTGGGTTGTGAGTTCAAATCCCACTGTAGCAGTTTGTGAAATGTGAATTTGGTAAAACCTGGAATTGAACAGCCAGACTAATGGTGGCATGTAACTCTTGTCAGTTGTTAAAAAGCCCATCTAGTTCTTTTAGAGAAGGAAATCTGTCAATCCTACCCGGTATGGCTAACACGTGACTCCAGACCCACAGCAATATGTTGACTCTTCATTGCATGCTGGACAATTAGAAATGGGCAATAAATGCTCACCTAGCCAGAAACATTTGCATCCCATGAACCAATAAAAAAAAAGTTATTGGGGCAGCATGGTGGCTCAGTTGTTAGCATTGCTGCCTTACAGCGCCAGGGACCCAGGTTCAATTCCAGCCTCGGACGACTGTCTGTGTGGAGTTTGCACATTCTCCCACTGTCTGTGTGGGTTTCTTCCGGGTGCTCCAGTTTCCTCCCACAGTCCAAAGATGTGCAATTTAGATGGATTGGCCATGGGAATTTGCCTATATTCTCCAGGGATGTGCGGGCTAGGTGGGTTAGCCATGGGAAATGCAGGGTTACAGGGATAGGGGTAGGGGATTGGGTCTGGGTGGGATGCTGCTTTGGAGGTTTGGTGTGGACTCGATCAACTGAATAGCCTGCTTCCACACTATATGGATTCTATGACTGCCAACTTTCACCTCACTAATATTGCACATCTTCGCCCCCTTGCTCAGCTCATTGGTGGCTCAAATCATTACCTCTAGAAACAACTATTCCAAAGCTCCGGTCCCCACAGCCTGACCCTGATCAGATCCTGTCACCCTCGCTGACCTGCACTGACTCCTAGTCCAGCAACACCAAGAGTTTTTACTTCTCATCATTTTTTTCAAATCCCTGCAGGAGCCTCTTATTCCATAGCTCTCTATCCTCCTCCAACATTGACATCCCTGTGTTCGTTTAATCCGGCCTTGTTAACATTCCTGATATCTGTCACTCCACCATTATGTTCCTGTCTTCAGTTGACTTGGCTCTATATTCAGCAATTCTCAACACAAAATCTCTCCACCTTTCAAGACTCGCCTTCAAACTTGCTCAGATGACTATTGGTAACTGGTATGAACTTGCTCTGAGCAGTGTGTTTTATTGGGCATGGATATTGTGGTATTGAAGAATCCAACAGATATTTATTGCAATGATTATGTACAAACGTAACATTTCTTGGACATCTGTCAGCTAATATTGAGCCAACGGGTTATTAGAGGAGCCATGACAGGAGCATGCTTTCGGTAGAGTGTCATGCTTCTGGTGATTTGAAGTAAGATGGAGAGTAACGTCATTATATCCTCAGATCACATGCTATGATGCAACGATGACACTATAAGCAGTTTCTAAGAGACATAATACAACACAAATCCATCCTTAAACATCTTTCTGTGGCTCAGTATCAGATTTTTCACTGATACACTCCTGTGAAGAGCCTTAGGACATCTTAACTACATCAAAATTATGCAATATAAATGCAACTTGTTATTCTTACAGATGTATTTAGCCTCCCTGAGGTGTAGACAATCTCACAGCTTGCTGAGTTCCATGGAAGCCTAAAAATTGCGGCTCAATTTTTGACAGTTGTCAGATAAATGTCAATAAATAAGTGTTCCTTAGCAATCTTCCATTTTAACAATCAGCGTAACAGTTAAGACTCCGAGACTCTATTTAGCTGATGGATGCATAGATCTAAAAGCCACTTCTTAATATCTCACAAAGTAATCCCCACTCAAAGAAACTGGGGTGAACCAATGGCAGAGAGCTTACCTTAAATAAAACGGTGACATCGGCCGATCATCATCTTGAGAACTGAAAGACAAAATAAACTTGCTTAAGGTTACCTGTACTACAAGATGTACAGCCACTGTAAACTTAATCTACGTTTTTAGTATGGAGTAAATCTTGTTCTCCCAAGGTGCCACACAGATATGACGGTGCTGTCCATTTTAAACCAGCCAAAGACACTCAGAGATATCAAACTATCATGCCTCTAGGAAACTATACCCCCACCCGTAGATTATGTAGAACTTACAATATCGTAAAAGGCCATTCAGCCCTAAATGATTTATGTTCCATACTAGCCTCCTCAATCACTTTTCTTCTAAATCGATCAGCAAATCCTTGATTCCTCAAGTACTTATACCACTTCCTTTCAAATGGTGGCATGGCACTTGCCAGAACTAATCTGTGTGGCTGTGAATTTCAGACTCTAACCACTAAAGAAGTTGCTTCTAAGTTCCCAATTAGATTTACTAGTGGCTATGTTACAATGCGAGATCCTAAGGCTCAATAGGTAGCGTGTCTGCTTCAGGATCAGAGGCTGTGGGTTCAAGTCCTGCTCCAGGACTTGACAACCAGTGAAGGTGTGTTTGTAGCTTGAGTAGCAACTTACAAGTTCTTCCAACAAGTACATCAACAGCAGCTGGTGAGAGTGGGACAGGCTCCTGGGATACGCACATGGTGGAAAGAAGATTGGAGCCTGTACAGTCACTATTCACAGCTGCAAAGTAGAGGTAAGCAACTTGGAACCCCTGCGTAATCTGTAATGCATCCATATTAACATTTCGGCCTCACAAATACGCAGCTGTCATTTTCACAGCAAATAGAGCATCAATGCATATCTTGATCCTCCCTTCTGTTTTGGCTTTTCTCTCTGCATACTCAAACCATGATACTTCAGCAGTGAAGCTTGCTAAAGTTGTGAATGGTGAGGTGTGTGTCAATACAGACATGACTGGGCAGCAGAGAAATTGTGACTAAGTTGTGTTTCACAGGGAGACAAGGACAGGCAGTTCTGAAGCAGTCAGCCTTCAGTCAAGGAAAATAAATCAAGAAATTATGACAGCAACACATCCAGGTTTATCATGAAACTTCACAAAATATAAATGAACTATCAACAATAAGGTTCATGGATTGTCTGTCGGCGGGGGGGGTTTAAACCCCTTGGTGAGATAGGACGGGAACTGGTATTTTTTTATACTCATTCATAGGAACTGAACAGCTTTGGCTAAGCTAGTATTTATTTCCCATCTCTGTTTTCACTTGAGGTGTTGTGGAACCACCTTGTTGAACTGTTGCAGTCCATGGAAGTGTAGGTACACTCACAGTGATGTTAGAAAGTTCCAGGATTTTGGCTCAGAGACAGTGAAGGAACGACATGTTTCAAAGTTAGGGTCGTGTGTGGTTTGGAGGGTAACTTGTAGGTGATGGTGTTCCCATGCGCCTGTTGCCTTTGTCTGTGTGGCAGAGGTGGCGTATTTGTAAGGTGCTGTTGCAGGAAATTTGGTGTCTTACTGCAGTGTATCTTTTAAATGGTACCAGGCCTGGGTCAGAGGATTACTGGCGCTTGGAGCTCTAGGGCTCTGCAGTGTTAGGGTTGGGGTGAGGCCACTGTGCTTGGACCAGGGTGAGGGGAGATACTATGCCTGGAGTGGTGGGGGGGCGGGGGGAGTTCAGAGCATGCCCTGTGTCCCTGATCTCTGATCTTGTCCCTGCTGTTGAAGGGTACACCTTGCTGCCACTATGTGCCCATCAGTGGGGAAGGGGGTGAGTGATGAAAGCAAGATTATCATACAGCTTGATAATCCTTTTATCAACCAGACATCTTGGTTATAATTGCAATAAAAACTGAAAGAACTGCGGATGCTGTAAATCAGGAACAAAAACAGAAATTGCTGGAAAAGCTCAGCAGGTCTGGCAGCATCTGTGAAGGAAAATCAGAGTTAACATTTCCATGGACCCAAATGGATTAATTTCTATCAGATTTCTGATCTGGTAGATCACTCTTTACAAAACCACTTTGATATCATGAATAAGTGGTTCAGTTACCAAACACACACAAACCTTTCTGCTGATTCAGTCACAGTCAGTGACCTCTCAAACTGGTGACAAATTTGACGGAGAGAGTTCAAAAGTTGTGACAAGTTTTTAAAAAGATGTAAAACTCCCATTTCAGTTGACTCGATAAATTTTTTGCCATGATATTTACAGTTCAATTGTTTTGCAGATTATTGGAAGTGCACCACATTTGTACAAGTCTCAGTTCTAACAAAGGGCCATATGAGACTCAAAACATTAACTCTGTTTCTCTCTCTCCACGGACGCTGCCAGAGCTGCTGAGTTTATCCAGCACTTTCTCTTTTTATTTCAGATCTTCAGCATCTACAGTATTTTACTTTTATTCTAAGGCTGCACAACATAATCAAATTCCTTTGGTCTGCCAGTGTTCAGGGGCTGCAATGCTGGACTATGAAGAATCTCTGCATTATAAAGTGAACCACACTGGCTTCAGACACAGAACAATAGTTGCTTTAAATACATGTTTCCTGCATGCATTTTAATCAAAGTACAGCTTTTTTCCAGCACGTTATGATTTCAAGGTAGGAGCGTTATAGCGAGAGAAAGACAAACAGGCTTTACTCTAATATTCGAGAAGAGCCAGCCTTACTGAAGACTCCTCCTTGGGAAAGAACAGCACATGATCAAGGTACATCACGGATCTGATGTGGCTTTGATTTCTGATGGTGACAGAGACTATCTTAAGCAATTGGCATCACACAGCAGACTGCATTAACGCAAATACTAAATTTTACCTAAAAAGTTTAAGGCTGTGCGTAGTCTACTGGGATACCCACTAATTTTAAGGCTGTGTTTACTGCCACTGCAACTGCAGGGGAGGCCACACTCAGAGCTCAAAGTGTCACAGTGCTTGTGGCATCCAATGCCAGAGATGCCGGGGGTGTGCGGTAATAGCTCTACACTTTACGCTTATTTAATGTGGTAGCTTTGAAGCCTTTGAAATGAATCACAGATGCAGAGGTTGCTCAAAAAGAGGCTTGAGGTGCCTCCCTACTACCTCCTAGAGGAGCCTACTCCCTCAGCAAAGTGTCAAATTAGACAGGGAAAGGACAAGGGAGAATACGGTGACAATAGGAATGGTGATGGCAACAGCGAGGTGGGGGGGTTGACCAGATGGTGAGGGAGGGGTGACCAGACAGCAAGAGGGTTGATCACTGGGGGCAG